AGAGACCCACCTGAGCCTGAGGATGGTCGTGTTGGGATGCACGACAAGGCAGAGAGGCATCTAGAGTCTGCGTGACGACCCATGCCGGATTAAGTGGCTACAGCTCCCTAAGTATCTGAGACTGTGGTAAAGCCCACACCGGAGCAATCTGTGGGGAAGGATTGTTTCCAGTGGGCTGGACTCACGCTGGAGAAGTTTGTGGATTTTTCCTCGTGGGTAGGGGATCCATTGGAGCAGGGGAAAAGGGTGTAAGGACTCCTCCTCCTTTGAGAGAGAAGCAGCAGTAACAGCACGGAATGAACTGACCTGCACTCCCCCAGTCCCTGCCCCCTGTGCTGCTGGGGGGAGGAGGTAGAGCCGGGAGGAAAAGCAAAGGGGGGCGGGGGAGGTGTCGGTTTTAAGATCTGGTTTTGTTTCTTTCTGTCCTCTCAAGTAACCGGTTTTGTTTCCCTTTGTCCTTCTAAGTAACCATTAATAAACTGTTTTGCTTTGAGAAAGCCCTGTCTGTTTTGCCTGGGACCATGGTTGGTGGGTGCTCCCTCTGTTCTTGTCTCAACCCTCAGTCCCTTTGGTTTTTGTTTTTTTTTTCCCTCTCCTCTCTACTTTACTGGAGGAGAGACTGTGTGAGTTTTAGTTGCTGGATCAGCCTAAAACCACGACAACTGAGTAGCCACAACACAAGACTAAAAATTCTACCTTCTCTGGTTGCCAAATCCCATCAACTTCAAACTGGCTGCATATAACAGTGGACTGGATCTATGCAACCACTGCCTACAAACAGAGCTTACAAAACTAAAATAAAATCCTCCAAGAAATCTAAATTGGGTTACAGTGAGAGGAGGTTGAAAAGCAAGTGCAAACACACCTAGGCTGTGATTGAGCAGCTTCTGAAGGAACGTGGTAGTTTATCGCAGGTTCAAAAACCATGGAGAAATGAAATGCATCAGAAGTTACAGCAAAGGGCCCATAATATAAACAAAAAGAACGGTGGGAAGACCAGACCAAGCAATCTACGCAGAGAAGAATGTGCTTCAGAAACCTGGAGTCTGTTACATTCCTCCCTCTATTCTGTTGCAGTTCACCAGAGCAATGCGTATAAACATCACACACCTGGAAATCATAGGCTTCTCTTTCCATTGGGAAACATTTTCCTACACGAGTTTCCATCCTATCACTCTCTTCCCTGATGACATAAAAAAAAAGGAACAACTGGGATCACTGTACTAGCTGGCAGCCAGATTTCTGTCAGCTGGAGCAACTGCATGTTGCTGCAGGGATTCCCAAACTATACTCATTTATGGTGGCCTCCAGTGACGAAGGAGCCAGGACTGGGGAAGCACATAAGTATCTTATAGCCATCTTATAGCCATGGTCCAGTCCTGAACTGAAATTCAACTGAAGAAGACGTGTCTTTTTCTACCTGGAAGCATTCTCTGGTAGGACACAATATTAAACAACACTACTTCAAAAAAACATGCTCAAGGCAACAAGTCTGAATATTTGAAAATCATTGCCCCTCTACAATGATGGTTTTAAAAGACAGAATACCAGGCTGTGATGGCTATCTACTGGTACAATCACTTTCTTCATACTCAAAAAAGACCTATCAGCCCCAAAACTATCAAAATACTCAGGCTCAAAATAATTCCAAGCAGAGCAAGGCTGACTCACTTTGGCAATGAAAATCTAGGTGTATAAGACAATTATTGCTGAAGTTTACAATTTACTGCCAGAGGTCTTTCTCCAGAACTAAATTTACAACAACAAATTTTATGATAACTAAATCTAAATGAGTATCCTCTGAGAAGAAATCTTTTAAGAGAATGAAAAAGTGTATGCTTCCTCTCTCACTTTATATTAAATAAAAAATTAAAAACACTTTTAAGTGTTTTGGAGTAGCTATAGAAAAATATGAATTGAAAAACAAAAGAGTCAATAGACTTACATTCACTAAATGCTTTATTTAGGAATGTTCTGATCATCCAGATAAGTAAAATTATGTGAAACTATAATGTAAAACTGTCCTTCATCTGCAAATATACACTACACCAAAATTTGATCTGACACTCACATACTCCTTCATAAATCTGTAGTTCTGAGAAAATATAAATAAAGCAGAGTATAGTTTTATTACTCAGGGGAACATCATTCACAGTGGGAGACTTTCCTGGAAGCAGAACATCTCTCTTTGGCTTCACAGTCCTCCTATTAAAAAGTTATTTTTAGGATCTCCAAATAATAGTCATGTTTACACAAACACACAGAAGACTCATAGTTTAACTCCTATACTAAGTGATCAAAGATATAGAAAGATAATGTCCTTTATCATCATAATAAAAGTTTTATCTCTAATACTTGTTCATTTTAGTCTTACAGGTCTTAGTATTTGTAACAACAATTATGATCCTGATTCTTAGGTGGCAAAATTTTCTTCAGGAATTACACTAAATTAAGAAGAAGAAATAAATTAAAAAAAAAATATATTTTGCAGTGCTTCTGGGCCTTTACATTATTATTTTTGGACTCTCCAGATAATTAATTTTTTATGTTTATCCAAAGCGTGACTATGCTGTGCTATGTTACAAATCCCAGAGGCAGAAGTGGTCAAGCTGTTAGCAGAGTGTGACCGCACCAAGGTTTTAACCCACTGTTAGACAAAGGTAACCTAGCTCAAGAGAGGCAGCGCTGTGGTTTTCTGGAAGAGCTCTCTCATCTGAGACAAGGTCCACACAGTCCAACACTGTGCCTCATACATGAACAACCTCAGTTGGAAAATTATTATATAGTTTCACAAACACTACTTGTTTACACCCAGCAGCCTTCCCTAAGCTTTAAATATCCATTACTCCTTCCAGTACCAAGGTTTCTTCCTGTAATTTGAACTCTTAAAATAGACTCCACAGGGAAGGCATGGTGTTTTTCATTATTTTTAAACACCGGAATTAAGTTTGAATGTCACAGTAGGTCTTACCTCCAATCATCTTTGGTTAAATTTGCCAGGATGTTCATCTCTTCTTCTTGCATGAGTCTATAAGCAGCACTTACATGATGATTTTCAAGAACAGAACGATCATTGTACAATATTGCAACATCTGACCTAGTGTTAAAAAAAAAGGTAGAATTTGCAACAGCATCCCATTGATGGCCCTGGGGAAGGTAGGACTGTGTATTCTCTACGAGAACTATTGACTATACATATATCAAACTATGTTTATTCATTCCTATTGTATCAAATACTGATAAAATTTCCATCCTAAATGTATAAAAAATTATCATGATACCACTGTATAATCTGTTTGTGGGAAAGGAATATTTTTAAATGTGTTATTTTTATGATAGTGACAAAAATTTGTGAGGAGATCTTTAAGCTTCTTGACTGTGAATAGGATTGTAGAGCAATAGAAATGCTCTAATTAGGCTACTGAAGAGTAATTTTTGGCAATACAACCATTCAAAATGCAAGGCATTCACCAGTAGAGGGGGCTCCACATATAGCATGGGTATTAAGAAATAACTATCCCCGTTCTGAGACAGATGTGTGTCATGGTTTGATGTGGGGGGGGAGGTCCGGGTGGCAGAAGCTGCCCATCAGACCGGACTCCTATCCCCCTCGGGGCTTGAGCCAATCGGTGCCTCTGCGAATTGCCCTATTTACGTCGGGACAAAGGAACTGGAAAGGTGTGTGCCTTTGCCCAGGAGCAAGGAGAAGGGAGGGGGCGCTGCCCCGGCGTCCAGCCGGGCAGCGGCCCATGTCGGGCCGGGGCCATCCGCTGGAGATGGCTGCGACGGAGCTGCTTGGGGAACTCAGGGAGAGCTCCGCTCCTGGGGTGCCCACTGGGCTGAGTTCACCCAGAAAAGACTGAGATCTGAGAGAAACAGCCACACC